GACGTATGACTACAATCGAGCCCCAAATGTCTGCTATTAAGTGAGTCCAAGCCCTGGCTATCATGACGTTTTAGCTGAAAGTTGGCTGACATTTTGCTTCGTAATATCTGGGTTTGTTTGGGTTTTTTTTTCTCTCTTCCCCAACTGTGTTGAGTTGCAATTGCAAACTTGCTCCTCCTGAGGGAGCCCTTTCCGTTAGATTTAGCTTAATTTGTGAAACCAAATCTGGATTAATCAGAATAGAGCTGGAAGGGACCGTGGAGATCTTCTAGTCTGACCCCCCCCCCACTCAAGCAGGAGACCCTAGACCAAGGGTCTTCAAACCTGACCGCTTTAAGACTTGTGGACTTGAACTCCCAGAATTCCTGAGCTAACATGACTGGAGGAGGAGGAATTCTGGGAGTTGGAAGTCCACAAGTCTTAAAGCGGTCAGGTTTGAAGACCCCTGCCTTAGACCATTTCAATCAATCAGAACAGAGCTGGAAGGGACCTCGGAGGTCTTCTAGTCCAACCCCTTGCTCAAACATGAAGCCCCAGTCCCTTTCGGACAAGTGACTGTCCAATCTTTTCTTTAAACCCTCCAGGGATGGAACACCCACAATTTCTAGTGGCACGCTGTTCCACTGGCTAATTATCCTCACTTTCTCTTTAATTCCAGGTTGCTTCTCTCCTTAGTTTCCATCCATTGTTTCTTGTCCTGCCTGCTGGTGCTTTGGAAAATAAGTTGAAACCCCCCCCCCCCGCTCTTTTCCAGATGCAGCGACACTCAGCTCACGTGAAATGCATCTCATTCACTACTGGAAGAATCCAAAGAATAAATCTATTCTTACCTGGGGACCGAGCAGGTAGCTGCTGGCTTGGTCTGGGAATGGACCACAGCTGTCCAAAGAGGAAGAAGAAGAAAAGGCAGAAGCAGGCCAGCTTCTCCATTGTCCTCTCCCTAACTTTGATGTGGGGTTCCCTTGCCGGCTGTTGACTATCTTATCCATGGTCTCCGCCCCACCCGAAATTCTCCAATGAACGTCTCGTCCGTTTGGAAAACTGAGGTCATTCTTCCAAGTCCCTTCGTAGACCATAAATCGAACTGTCTCTTTGCCTGATGGGGAAAGGGAAGATGATGGAGAAGGGGAGGAGGAGGAGGAGGAGGAGGAGGAGGGTGGGGAGAGAGAGAGAGAGAGAATTGAAAAGAAGAAGAAGAAGAAGAAAAAAAAACAACTTTATAAACCGGGCATAAAAATCAGAGAGGATCTTCGGAGCGATAAATCACCGGCTAATGAAAACATCGGACGTCATTCGGAATTTGCCCGAGACTTGAAGCGGATGATTTATGAAACTGGGAGGGCTTGACGCAAGTCATCCGAGCGAGATGGCATAGAGATGGATGAGAGAAGATGCCCTGTTGTGTTTTCAGGTGGCCTGTGCCAAGAGAGGACGATGAGCAAGGAATTAAACAGACATCCCGGCTGAGTTTCTCTCCTTACCTGAGTTTGAGGCTGACGTTGCGACGCATTGCATGGGTGTCCTGCTCGGCCCGTCTCGCAAACGGCACCCTAAAGTTGGAGGGAACACCAGGTTGAAAGGAAGGTTGGGACAGGGTATCCGACAGGACAAATGTCCCAAGGAGGGCAGCTTTTCCTCAGATGGGGAGCGCCGTAGAAGAAACCTCTGTATAAAGAGGGGAATGTAGAAGAATCCCAACCAACGGGAAGAATAAAGAAATAAGTACAGATTGGGAAAGTAGTGTAATATACCTATATGGATATATCAAAGAAAATATTGTTATAATGAGCAGATCGAGGTTAGAAGTTGGAAGATTAAAAAAAAGTTCGGATACGTAACTGTATTATTACTGTTAGCATTGTGCGGTAAATATATTGAGCCAGTCATTATACACTGTCCACAAAAAATGTTGGTTGTTAAAGGAAAACTACAAATAAAACATATACAGGAGGAGGAGGAGGAGGAGGAATAGGAAGAGGAGGAGGAGGAGGAGGAGGAGGAGGAGGATGGGATATGTCTAGTTTAATGAAGAGAAGGACCAGGGGTGACATGATAACAGTTTTCCAGTATCTGACGGGCTGCCTCAAAGAAGAGGAAGGGGTTAGTTTATTCTCCAAAGCATCAGAAGGCCAGGAACAAAGGATGGAAACTCATCAAGGAGAGAAGCAACCTGGAATGAAGGAGAAACCTGCTAACAGTGAGAAAAATTAGACAGTGGAACTGCTGGCCACCAGGAGTTGTGGGTGCTTCCATCACTGGAGGTCTTCAAGAAGAGACTGGACAGCCACCAGAAATGGTCCTTAGACCATTTCAGACAAGTGATCGTCCAATCTCTTCTTAAAATCCTCCAGGGATGGAGCAACCCATAACTTCTGGTGGCAAGCTGTTCCATGGGTCAATTGGCCTCACTGTTAGGAACTTTCTCCTTCATTCCACGTTGCTTCTCTCCTTGATGAGTTTCCAACCGTTGTTTCTTGAAGAAGATGGCTCCACCAACCAACCAGCCCGGCCAGATCTTGGAAACTGGATGCAGCTAATTTCTCCAACTTATGATCCACTTTTAAGCACTTGTAAGCAACGCCAAGATTTTGGGTGGGGAAGCCGTTTCGCTCCTGCCGAGAGCTCTCTTGTAGGGAAAGCAGAACATAATCAACCTGGCAGCTCCGAGAGGGAAATTAGCCTTGAAGTGATATTATTAGAGTCAATTGTGGTCCCCACCCCAGAAAAAACCTAATTCGATCCTGGGAGGTTTTCTAAAATTACCTTCAGCTTTCTTCATCTAAAAACAAAACCAGTTACGGTCTCTTCAGCGTTGTGTGTGTCCCACCTGCCAAAAAGTTCACACGTTTTGCGCAGGAATAGAAATGGCTTTTTGTTATAACAGCTGGCTTTTCTATTTTCCAAGAATGGATCATGAGAAAAGTGTCAACTTTTCTGCAGAGTTTTGCATCCCGGGATTTTGATGTACAACCCAACAGAGAGAAGCTAATTTTTTATTTTTATTTTTTTATTTTGGAGTTCAAAAGCTACCTGTCGCTTCTCTGAGTTAAAATAAATAAATAACCACCACCGCTCCCCCAAAAAAATCTACAATGGAATTGCAGGAGAAGGAAGAAAATATAATACGGTCTGGGGAAAATGGTATGTTTGGTTAGATAACAGGAATAAAAGATAATGCAAAATGTAAATGTAAATTATATATATATATGTGTGTGTGTAAATGAAAACAGAAAAGGTGATGCCACAACTTACTGCAAAAATTGTATATATGATTTTTTTTTTAAAGTGAAAAAAAATTAATAAGAAGTATTTGAAAATAAAATAAAAAGTAAAAAGATCTAGGGTCGCCTGCTTGAACAGGGGGCTGGACTAGAAGACCTCTGTGGCCCCTTCCAGCTCTCTTCCGATCAATCTACGCACGGAATGAACCGAAGCCAGCTGGTCTCCCAGTCTTGACGTCTATGGGAGCCGGTCTCGTCTTCTACGTTTTGCTCAGTCACCTCCAAGTTGTGACCCTTCAAACGACCTCAAGGAATGTCGACCTATCTCTCATCGCTCGAACCGTCTCTACCTCACCCCACTCCTCCAGCCTCGCTCCTTCTCTTTCTCCACCCTGCCCGGTGACTCACACGCCATACATTTCGTTTTTATTTATTATTATTTTTTCATTTTCCTCCTGCGCAAAGTAATTAGGTCAGACCATCGCATGACCTCATTGCTCACTGCAAAAAGAAAAAAATAATTTCTCCTTCAAACCAACGGCAGAGGCCAGAGGAATCCAACTCGGTTGGAAAAGCAAGGAAGGTGGAAACTCCGAGGAAAGGTCACCACCAGGATGTATTTTGTCCCTGCCTGCCCCCCCCTTACCCCCCCCTCCACGTCCATCACAGAGCTGGAAGGGACCTGGGAGGTCATCTAGCCCAACCCGCTGCTCAAGGAAGAGAGACCCTTACAGAATCATAGAAGGACAGCGTTGGAAGGCCCCTTGGAGGTTATCTAGTTCAACCCCCTGTTCAATACAACTTACAACCAGTTCATTTAGGGACCGTTCCAAAGTTACAACGGCACGGGGTGTGTGTGTGTGTGTGTGTGTGTGTGTGTGTGTGTGTGTGTGTGTGTGAAGCAACTTAGAATAGTTTCTCACACATACGACCACGTCCTCAAAAGGCAGACGCTTGGCCACTTGCATTTGCGACCGTCCTAAAAGCGAGTCAGGGGCCAAGCATCCAAATGTCAATGACCTGATGGAGGGGAGGCCCCAACGGCCAGTTGTTGTGGAAAAATGGTCCTGTGTCCCCAAAAAATCCCAAGTCCCCCCCCACTTTTTTCCCCAGAGCCCTTCTCACTTCCGGCGGTCACTAAACGAATGGCCGTCAGTCGAGGACTCGCTGTATAACCCTGCTTGGCGTCTTGTCTCCAGTCCCCCGCAATCAGCCCTCGCCGCGGCGCGCGCCCTCCGCCGTTCCCAAAGCGCCCTTGGCGGGGAACGCGTAAATGACCTCGCGGGGGGGGGCGGGATGGGTTTCCGAAAGGGGAGCAATGGAGGGGAGGGGGGCGCAACTTCCAGCCTGCCTTCCCCAGGGTCCAGGAGAGGGCAGCTAAGCCTGCCCCCCCCCCACCACCCCTCTCCTGCCCAGCGGAGACCCTCTCCCGACCTCTCCAGCGCGCGCGCGCGCGCTCCAGGTAAGTCTCCGCGCACCTGCCGCGCGCAAGAGGCGCGCGAGAGGGAGGAGCGCTGCGGCGCAGGAGGAGGAGGAGCAGTCTGGCGGGGCTGCCTCCCTCCCTCCCCTCTTTCCTTGCGACCCCCCCCCTCCCTTTCCCTCCCTCCCTCCTTCCCCGGCCTTTCCACCTGGCCCGCTGGCAACCGGAGCATCTTCGGCCCGGTTTTTTTGGAGAGCTCCCGCGGGGGGGACCTGGCTTCCGCTCGGACCCGGTTCAAACAGCTGGACGGGCCGGGGGTGGGTGGGGTGGGGGCTTAGATCAGAAGCCCGTCGGCTGCTGCTGCTGCGGCTTGGAAAGGCGGCGAGTGGGCGACCCCCGCGCGCGCCCGGCCAGAAGCCTTCCCAGGTAAGGCTGGCGAGGCTCCCACCCTCTCCAGGGCTGCGACCTCGGAGATCTGTCTTTGGGGGGAGGAAAAAAGCTGAAAATGGACCCCCCTTGATACCCTCAAGCATCCCCCCCGCCCCCGCCCCGCACCTATTTAGCCAGAGGAAAGCCAATAAAACCTTCCCAAAACCAGCGCTGACATTGGCAGCTTTCCTTCAGGGGACGGGGGGGGGGGGGGGTTTGGGCCCCCCCCCCCCCCCCCCCCCCCTGTTAGGATTTAAACGGGGGTCCCCCCTCCCTTGGTCTCAGGGGACGGGGTGTAGCCCCCCCAACCCCCACCCATCTGCCCCCACCCCTCCTTCTTCCTTCCCTGAAGGAGAAACTGCAGGTCAAGGAAGGAAAAGCCAAGGAAATTTACAAAGCTCAGAGGAAGAGGAGGAGGAAGAGGAGGGAGGGAGGGGAGAAGGGAGGAAGGTGGCAATCCCTTTGATCTGTGTGACTGACAACCCCCCGTCCCCCCCAACCGAACGTGGGCCAGTCCCTCTGGGCCTTCCCTGGTCTTTCTGCCTCGGACAAAAGGCACCCAAAATTGATATTTGGGGTCTTCTCTTCTCTCTTCACCTTTTCTCTTCAGTTCCCTCTTCTCTTCTATCTTTTCTCTTCACCTTTTCTCTCTTCACCTTCTTTTCTGTTTTCTCCTCTTCTCTCTTCACCTTCCTTTCTCTTCTCTCTTCACTTCTCTCTTCTCCATTTCTCTCTCCTCTAGAATTCCATTATAGAATTCTATAGTCTTCTATAATCTATGATCTATTTGGATTCTGAGCATTATCTATCTATCTATCATCTATCTATCTATCTATCTATCTATCTATCTATCTATCTATCTATCTATCTATCTATCTGTCTATCTATCCATCTATCTATCTATCCGTCTTGCATTTTGAAATACTCTTGTCTTGAAGATCACACCAGCAGAGTCTTAGCAATTTGATGCCTTGTTCTTCCAGATTGCTGTTGGGAGTTTGGGCCCTATGAAAAGAACACAATGACTGAACTTCAGATCGACAGTTCCTGCCTGCCACCCGTCCAGGAAGGTACGCGATGAAAAGAATGGGACATTCAGAATCTCCCCCCAGTTTTTATTTTTAAAGCATACCTGGTTCTCGACTTACAACCGCCCATTTGTAAAAGACAAGGTTGAGACTTTGGGGGGGGAAAGTGCCAAATAAATAAATAATCAAAACAGATTATTATTATTTTTTCCGTTGGCGGAAGAAGACACAGATCTTCTACAGGAAGTCCTTGAGTTACGACAGTTCATTTAGCAACCATTCAAAGTTGCAACGGCCCTAAAGACCGCGTGGGTCGTAATTCGAGGACTTACCTGTATTGCTTATTCATTGCCTATGGCATTGAGAGACCTATTTATATATAAAATTTACTATTCCCATGTTTTATGGGATTTCTAGCCGGAAGAGACGGTACGTCTCTGAATGCCATAGGCAATTTTATATATTTATAATTATAAAATACGAGTGTTTTTGTCTGCTCCAACCAAGCCGGCAGGCAGAACAAGTTTTCAAAATGTGAGTTCTTGTTGGGAAATCTCAAGCATGTCTGGATTTGTCTTTCCAAACTTCTCCTTCACACACATTCTTTGGAGGAGGGAATTTGTCCAGACTCCAAAATTCCCAATTGTTGGAGATTATTCTGGCTCTCTCCTCTCCTCTCTTTCTTCTCCTTCTCTATTTTCTATATGAGGAAGGATGCAGAAAATGATATCACTTGAGATCACTTTTAGATTAACAGAGTTGGAAGGGAGCTTGTAGGTCATCTAGTCCAACCCCTCACCCAAGCAGGAGACCCTACACCGTTTCTGACAGATGGCGGTCCAGTCTCTTCTTGAAAGCCTCCGGTGTTTATGAGGAAGGACTTTTTTAAAATAAACTTTATTGATCTTTTATACTTTAAAGAACAAAAAAACAAGCAAAAGGTAAAAGTATCTTAAATTCGACATTTTGTGACATTCTTCTTACACTACTATTTTGTGCATTATTTACAAATATATACAGTTTATGCGAATATAAATATTTAATTTATATATGGCTTATCCTTAATTCATCAACCATTTAAGTATCTTTGTTCCATCCGGTCATACCATTTTTCCCAAACTTTAAAGCATTCAGTCTCCTCTCTCTTTCATATCACCTTATATTACTTATTCTATTTTCCTTTGAATATTCTCAAATATCCGTTACACTTTGTTTTATCCAATTCCAGCTTCTGTCTTAACCTATTTCGTTTTTCTTAAAATGTTCTCCCAACTTATTTTACAATATTATCTAAGATTCTTGTTTCATTGCCGTATCCATTACACATATTGCTTTTTATCTGTCACATTTGCAATTTTGTCACATACTGTTATTCCATTCGTTATTCAACAAATTTCATCCTTATTCTAATAATTCAAAAAGTTGTCCCTTTTAGTTGTCCATTCAAGCTTGGCCCTGCTTCTATGTTTCATTTTTTTCATTTTTTCCTGCAGTTTGCCGAGATTTCGCTGTCCTAGAAGATGGTGCGTTGGCCTATTGTCTACAAGAACAAGAGAGTAAGGACGGGGATTTGGCAGATCTCTGAAATGTATTTATGTAGAAGAGAACAAATATAAGTAAACAGGAACAAAAGGAGGAAATATAGATAAGTAGGGACAAATATGTGAGGGAGATCTATGCCAACTCGCCACAGGACAAGAATTACACTAATATCTAAAAGTAATTGTGGAATAGAATCATTAAAGAAAGGATAGAATTAGAATAACAGAGGTGGAAGGGAGCTTAGAGGTCATCTAGTCCAACCCTCTGCTCAGGCAGGAAACCCTACACCATTTCAGACAGATGGAGATCCAATCCCTTCTTTAGAAACTGTTAGAATATTCTCAACTTCTGGAGGAAAGCCATCCCACTGATTCTAATAGAATCCTAGGGCTGAAAGGGTCCTCGGAGGTCTTCTAGTCCAACCCCCTGCTCCAGCTGGAAACTCGATATCATTTCAGACCCGTGGAGGTCCAATCTCTTCTTTAAAAACTTCCGGTGTTGGAGCATTCACAACTTCTGGAGGCAAATCATTCCACTGTTTAATTGTTCTGTCTGCTGGGAAGAATAGAGAACAACAGAATTGGAAGGGAAGGACCCTGGAGGTCATCTAGTCCAACCCCCAGCTCAAGCTGAATCCCAGGCTGCTTCTCGCCTTGATAATTTTCCACCCCTGCTTTAAAAACTTCCAGGGTTGGAGCATTCACAACTCCTGGAGGAATATTCTGAAGGAAGGAGGGGGGAAAAAACCAATGAGCAACAAAAATTAAAATAACTTTTTTTTTAAACGGTTTCATAATAATGAAACCGAACGGCTGAACTGGGTCCCGCGGTGATGTGGCTCCTGTGGCAAGTTGGCAAGCTGTCCCTCTTCCATGGTCCGTGCGTCCTTCCAGCATTTAGCATCCCTTCCTCCCTCCAAATCTTCTGACCCCCCCCTCCTTCCCCGTCAGTGCCCTCTCCTGTCCCGGCTGCACGGGTTTTTTTTCCCCCTGTGTGTGTGTGTGTGCGTGCGTGCGTGTTTGTGTCTCCTGTGCGTGCATCTCTGGCACCGTCCGCCTTTCCAATTAACGAGATGGAGTCGCAATCGCTCCAGGGAATCCGGCGTGCAGACAGGTTTACAAGGGGGGGGGGGCGGCTTGCCAGATGAGATGGCCTTTTAAGGGCCCGCTCTCTCAAGGTTGCCCCCCCCCTCACTCCTTCTCTCTTGGCAGCGGGTGGCAAGGACTGTCCTTCGCCTTACTCACCTGGCATCCTTTGGGGCTGGTGAATCATTTCCGTGACGTCAAAACGCTCTTTGCATGACAGCATCCAGAGCGGTCCAAGTTCTGAACCTCCCTCTTTCTCTCTGCTCCACTCCCCACCATTCCACCCCCCCCCCGACTGTCTGGCTGGGGATTAATGGCTTGGGAGTACAGGATTTGTCTTTCAGGATTCCGGGCAGTGACCCCCCCAATTAAATCCTGAGCCTCGAGCCAAACTTCCAAAACTTCCAAAGGATTTATTGGGAGCGAACATGTCTGACGCTGCCTGGTTTTCCCCCCCGACACCCTTGCATGAGTCATCAATCATATTCTCCAACGAGACCCCTCCGTAGCCCAGAGTCATCAATCATGTTCTCCACTTAGATATTTGCCCATCATAAACCCAATCTGCCTGCCTGTTCTGCCTGATTTGGGGTAAAAGTTGCTCTCTCTCTCTCTCTTTTTTAAAAAAAATAAAAAATCCAATATTTACATAAATATTGACAATATTTACCTACAAGCCAGGCCCACCCAGTCACGTGACCACCAAGCCACACCCACGCATTAGGCCACGCCCACAAGAACTGGTGGCTAAGAAATGTGAACCCCGCCCTGCCCTCACCTGACGGGACCCACACCTGACCCATTGCCCCCCGCTCATCCTCCGGCTTCCTTCTGACCCTTCTCTCTCCCTCAGTCGAACTGCACTACGCTTCCAATATGCAGAAGAACCAGATGGTCCAGAATGACCGCCGGATGGCCACGCGGCTTCAGAACCAGGAGGTGGAAGCCCAGAAGATTCACGATGGCAGGCCGCCCAAAGAAAGGTAGGGTTCTCTTCCTTCTCTTGATGGATTGGCTGATCGATTGAAATGGTCTAGCGTCTCCTGTTTAAGCAGGGTTGGACTAGAAGACCTCCAAGGTCCCTTCCGGCTCTCTTCGCATTGATTGATTGATTGAAATGGTCTAGGGGGCCTCCTGCTTGAGGGGGGTGGGGGTTGGACTAGAGGACCTCCGAGGTCCCTTCCGTGATTCTGTTAATTCTGTCCGTCATTCCACAAAGCCAGGATTGCTCCTGTCTAACTGCCTCTCCCCCTGTCCACCTGTAGCCACGAGGGAGACCCGAAAAACGGCCAGAAAGATCTTCCGGTGAAACTGGGAAAAGGGGAACGGAAGAAGGCCGGCGACCAGGTAGGAGATTCCCTCGTGCCAAGTTTGAACTGCCCTGGCTTGGCCGCTCTTGGCCAGCACCAGCTTGGGCCAAAGCTGCAACGATGGACCCTTGGTCTTTTCGGGTTTTCCGGGGTGCTCTTGGGATAGTCCTTGACTTACAATCCCCACGGAGCCCGAGATTTCTGTCGCTAAGGGAAAACATTTGTTCACTGAATTGTGCCGCTTCTCGGTGACAATTGGCAGGCTGCTATCATGCCACCCCCTACTCATTTTCCTTGAGAGTCCGATCCCCTGCTGAAGCAGGAGGCTGTATATCATTCCAGAGTCCTTCCTTCCTTCCTTCCTTCCTTCCTTCCTTCCTTCCTTCCTTCC